TAGAGACCATTCCCAAGGCTTCTCCTTATATACAGGAAAGCAGACCACATCCCAAAGGCAGCTACTCAGCTGCTTGTGGTAGATCCCACCATGGAGTTGACTGCCAGTCTCATCATGGGGAATAACTACCACCAGCTGCCCAACCACTCAACCAGGCCCAGCCAAGTTGACACACAAACATAACTACCACACTTGGGATTTCAGTGGCTAATTTTTAGGAAGTAAAACACTAGGCCTTCCTTCCAAGATGTGTCTGAGTGGACTTGAATTCCCAACCATTTGTTTAGCAGCCAAGAACCTTAAATGTTTGCATTAACCTGAGATTTTTAGGGGAATCAGGAAATACCTATAACTGCAGGTAAAATTTGGTCTTTGTGAGGCTACATTTTTGTGGAAAAAAGATAACTTGTTTTTTAAGTCATAGGGCTCAGGTGCATTTTTCATGCTTAAGAGAGAGAAAATGTTTATCATAGTATTAAGTAAAAATTTAGCTAAGTAAATAGAATGATTATATCAACTAATGTATGCTAATTCAAATAGAGAAGTAGGCATAAAAGCCAGTTAGCAGTAAAAGTACTAATGTAAAAAGTATGACCTTTGTAATTACCAAAAGTCTTAAAGGGAGTAGGAGTTACATTTTTAACAAAAAATGTATGTGTAAAGCGTAAGTATAGGATCATATTGCCAATGGTTCCTCATTATGCTGTTTAATACTCATCCTTTCTTTCCTTTTAGGAAATAACAGTTAGTAAAATCACTGAATTGGAAATACTGGATAAGATAATACTTTCACCCAATTTCAGGTTAGTAAAGTCAAGAGAATCATCTGTGTGCCTGGGAGTCATGGCTGCCTAACTAGTGCTGAGCTCCTGGCCTGAGAAACCACAGCATTTGGCGATAATTTTATTTACATTTAGTATTTGAATCTTCTTCCAATTCCTTCTCCCCTCCCCGTTCCTTCACCTTTGCATATCACAGAATTTTGGCATAAGGTAGGAAATAACTCAGGAACATAGGCTTAAGGTAAGTTTTATTGGGCTTTCTTTGTGTTTAACAATTATAAAAAATTTTTCCTCATAACCCCAAACTGCTACCAGAAAATTCTGTCTATGCAATAACTTTATATATGGCATTTCTTAGTTTTTCAGGAACAGGTTTGGTTGAGTCAGTTGGAACTCTTCAAGAGATTGAAGAACAAAAATCAGAAGAAGCAGTAGCAAACCCAGAGTTCCCTGAGTCTCTTCCGTGTTCACACAGTTCTGAAGTTGGATACGTAAATGGGGCTTCTTTAAAAGAGACACAAAGCATCCAAGAAAAAGACCAAATGTCAGAATGGTAGAGTCATTGGTATCTAAAACTAAACTGAAGCTTGGACATGGAGAAGGGTTACTACAGATCTCCACTGGACATCAAAAAGGAGTCTTAGAAATTGCTGATAAACTCATTAAACCATTTACAAAAATGGATTTCTCAATTTTGTTTGATATCTTCAAATGCCTTGTATTGATCAATATAATGACTTAAGTTAAATGATTTAATTAGGATTCTGTTCAGCAGAGGATATATATGGTTAATTCAGCACTCTTTCCCACTATCACAGGTCTTTCTTGTTTACTTGTTCTTTAAAAAATTGTTAGAATAATAACATTAAAGCAAGTATTTCAAAAAGAAAAAAAACTCTTATAATCCTACATTCTTTGTGTGTGTGTGTGTGTGTGTGTGTGTGATTTGGGTGAAAGTTTACAGAGCAAATTCACTTTCCATACAGCAGCTCACATACACTTTGTTTCATGACATTGACTACAACTTACCATAATGCAACAGCTCCCCTTCCCATAGTTACCTCTTCCCTGTGTCCTTCCATCCATGCACTCCTGCCCCCTGAGCTGTCTCCCTGTGTATACAAAGCCCTTCTTTCTCCTATGATTGTTCTCTCCAAGGAGTGTATCTACCTCAGGTAAATGTTCACCTCATATGCCTGTCTTTTATTTGGATGGAAGCCACAGGAGTGGGTTCAGTTGCAGACCTGAAGGGCAGCTAGAGGCCATAGTCTCAGTCGTTAATCCCACATTCTTAACACAACTCTTTTCATTTTGGAGCTATTCCTTTTTGGTCCTTATTCAAATGCAAATATTTTAAGTAGTTATTATCATCTGTTGTTGTTATGTGCCGTTGAGTTGGACCTGACTCATACTGACCCCTCCTTGGGTTTCCGAGGCAGTATCACTACCGAAGTAGAGTGCCCCGTCTTCCTTTCCATGAGTGGCTGGTGGGTTTGAACCGTCATTTTTATACTCTGATTTTTATTTTAACAATTGATACCATATTTGCCCATATTTCAATAGTCTTCCTAATTATTCTTTCATTAGCTACATATTTTATTAAGTTGATGCTCTATAAATTGTTAAACATACTCTTGTTATTTTATATTTAAGTTGTTTCTACTCTTTTATTATTTAAGATTATTCTGAAATGAAAATTTTTGTGCATGTATCTCTTTTCTTCTTTTGAATTATGCCAGAATACAAATTCACAAGATTGGCTTAATTGGGTTAAATCATGTAAATGCTAATATGGCTTTTGGTACATCACTTGTGACATTTCTTATAAAAGGGATGAGGCAACATACTGTTTCAATAATGAAGTTACTCAACTTCTTTAAGCCCTAATCTCGTTTCATAAAATGGGACAATAATAGTAATAGCCCAAACTTGGGTCATGTTGTCATGTTCCTTGGAGAAGGTTATCATGCTTAGTAAAGTAGAGGGTCAGCAAAAATGGGGAAGATTATCAACAAGATGGATTGACATAGTGGCTACGAGAAAGAGCTCAGGTATACCAAGGATTGTGAAGGTGGTGCACAACCAGGCAGTGTTTTGTTCTGTTGCACAAAGAGTCTTTGTGAGTCAGAGCTGACTCGGTGGCACCTAACAACAACAGACCATAGTGGCAGTGTAAAAATCAAATGAAACGGTGTATGAAATAGTTAGCACTTAGTAATGACTTAATAAATGCTGTCTATGATCTTATTTTGGAGCTCTGGTAGTGTAGTGCCTAAGGCACTTGACTGCTAACCAGAAGGTTGGCGGTTCAAACCCACCAGCCACTCCTCGGAAGGAAGATGGGGCAATCTACTTTAGTAGTGATACTGCCTCGGAAACCCAAGGAGGGGTCGCTATGAGTCGGGTCTGACTCGATGGCACATAACAACAACAACAACATGATCTTATTTATTTTCACTAGCAGTGTATGAGTACTAGTTCTTCCACAACAAACATCAATATTGTCAATTTTTAAAATTTATTCCAAAATAGTTGGTATAAAACTATGCTGCAAGGTGCTGCTGCTGCTCTTCCCCATTCTCCTCATTATTCCCTCCTCCTCTTTCTTCTTCTTCAACTAAAGATGGAGAGCAAGGGGAGAGAGGACATTACCAAAAATAAAAAAGATCCTTTGAACTGAGACATACTGAATTTTTTTTATTGTGATTTGAGTGAAATTCTACAAAGCAGATTCATTTTACATCCAGCAGTTCATATACATTTGTTTTGTGACACTGATTACATTCACCGCATTGTGACAGCTCTCCTCCCACTCCCTACCTGTGGTTACCCTTTCCCTGTATCTTTCTTGCCTATGCATTCTTGCCTCCCTGCCTTTCTCCCTGTGCAAATGCTGAGCTTCTGATCTCCCATGGTTGATTGTTCTAAGGAGTGTATCTCCCTGATGTAGTTATTCAGCTTATAGGCCTATCTATTGTTTGGATAAGAGTTAAGCCGTGGGAGTGAGTTCAGTTCCAAGCCCTAACAGTGACTTGGGGCCATCCAGTAAACTTGGTCTTTTTTCATGTTTTTATTATTATTATTATTATTTAGTTCCCCATTTTTTCTCCACTCTATCCAGGATCTCCAATTCTGATCCCCTTCTGAGTGGTTGATATTGGTAGCTGGGCACCATCTAGTTTTTCTGGTCTCAGGGTCATATAGGCTGGTGTTCTCATGGTCATTAGTCCTTTGGACTAATTGTTTTCATGTGTCTTTGATTTTTTTTCACTCTTCTTCGCTCCAGATGAGGAGAGACCAATTGTTGCATCTTAGATGGCCATATGCAAGCTTTTAAGACCCCAGTAGTGGGAGCTCTGGTAGCATAGTGGCTAAGGCACTTGACTGCTAACCAGAAGGTTGGTGGTTCAAACCCACCAGCCACACTCCTCGGAAGGAAGATGGGGCAATCTACTTCTGTAGTGATACTGCCTCGGAAACCCAAGGAGGGGTCGCTATGAGTCGGGTTGACTTGACGGCACATAACAACAACAACAACAGTTACTCACCAAAGTAAGATGTAGAACAATATTTTGTTATACTATGTTGTGCCAATTGAACTTGATGTCCCCTGAGACCACAGTCCCCAGCCTGCAGGCCTAGCAACTCATTCCCTCAAGGTGCTTATTTGAAGCTAAGAAGTTATCCTAACTTTGCCCCCTATTAGGTTTAAATTGCATATGGACACTTTTATAGCACAAACAAATACATAGATAGGAATATTGTCTGCCAAACCTATGTTTGGATGTGGGTATATTCCTATTTGCCTATCTATACCTGATCTTCTTGCCTATCTATCTACATATCCACCCCTAGATTGTTGTTGTTGTTGTTGTTGTTGTTTGCCATCAAGTCGGCCCCGACTCATAGCGACCCCTCCTTGGGTTTCCGAGGCAGTATCACTACGGAAGTAGGAATGCCCAACCTTCCTTCCGAGGAGTGGCTAATGGGTTTGAACCACCAGCCTTCTGGTTAGCAGGCAAGTGTCTTAGCCACTATGCTACCAGAGCTCCTTGTTATTACCAATATGCAATGATATTTACCTTTATTATTTGTACCTTTTATATGCCTCTCCGTGCTTGCCTTTTCCTGAGTGAAACTGTGCTGGCCACACACTTTTGTTATTTTGTTCTTCTCTTCATCCATATCAATACCTGTCTCTTAACTATCCATCTATTTTCCCTACCTAGCCCTCCCCTCCTATCCCTGGTAACCAACAAAGGACATTTCCTTCCATATGTAAACCTTTCTTGACTTTTTATAATTACAGACTCATGTCATATTTGTCTTTCTGTGATTGACTCATTTCAGTCAGCATAATGTCCTCCAAGTTCATCCGTGTTATGAGGTGATTTGCTGGTTCTTCATTATTCTTCAATGATGTTGCATAGTATTCCATTGTGTGTATTACCATAATTTGGTTAGTCATTGATCTGTTGATAGGCACTTAGGTTGCTTCCATCTCTTTGCTATTATGAATAGTACTGCAGTGAACATGGATGTGGAGATACCTATTTGTGTCCTGGAGCTTAGCTCTTTAAGGTATATTCTTAGTAGTGGGATTGCTGAATCGTAAGGTATTTCTATTTCCAACTTTTCAAGGAGGTGCCATACTGTTTTCCACAGTCATTGTACCATTTTAGAGTCCCACCAGCAGTGTGTGAGTGTCCCAATCTCTCCACACCCTCACCAGCATTTATTGTTTTCTATCTTGTTGAACTTTGCTCTTATTGCTGGCGTGACATGATATCTCATTGTTGTTTTGATTTGCATCCCTCTAGTGACTACTGATCACAAACATTTCTTCATGTGTTTGTTGGGTGCCTGAATGTATTCTTTGGTGAAGTGAGACATACTGAGTTTTAATGTGCAACTCTTGCTTCCCCAGACCACAAAATTTCAGGTTGGAAGGCACTCAAAATATGAATGGAGAAGAGCTGCCTCCTCAAAGTAGAGGTGACCTTAATGACATGGATGGAGTAAAGCTTTTAGGACTTTCATTTGCTGATGTGGCATGACTGAAAATGAGAAGAAACAGCTGCAAATATCCACTAATAATCAAAACATGGAATGTATGAAGTTTGAAGCTAAGGAAATTGAAAGTTGTGAAAAATGAAATGGAACACATGAAGATCGATATCCTAGGCCTAGGCATTCAAAAAAAAAAAATCACTGCCATCAGGTTGATTCGGCTCATAGCAGCCCCTCCTTGGGTTTCCAAGTTGATATCTCTATGAAATAGATTGCCCAATCTTCCTTCTGAAGAGTGGCTGGTGGGTTTGAACTACCAGCTCTCTGGTTAGCAGTCAAATGCCTTAGGCACTATGCCACCAAATTGAGTGGTATTGGCCATTTTGAATCAAACACTCATATGGTCTATTATGCTGGGAATGATAAATTGAAGAGGAATGGCATCACACACATCATCAGAAAGAAAATTTCAAGATCTATCTTGAAGAACAATGCTGTCAGTGATAGGATAGTATCCATACACATACAGGAAAACCAGTTAATATGA